ACGGCACCTCCCTGGTGCCCAGGCAGCACAACGGGTGCAAGTCCTTTCCTCCATGGCTGCATGGAGAGGGACCACGGGGCTTTCTCTTTAATGCAATGCTATGAATACTCGGGGTCTTTCTGCTCGCTGTTTAATAGATTTGAATGTGAAAAGGTGGTGGAATTGGGAAGAGAGAAGGGGAGGGGGGGGAGCAGGCCTCTTTGTTCGGGGATGCTGCTCCAGCCCGGGATTTATTTGGCATTTGGAGGGCTCAGGGTCTTTCTCTCCTCCCCAGCCACTGCAAAGGCTCTCTCCCTTTTCTGCCTCATGCTTATTAGCATAGCAGCTGCTCCCTGAGAGGGGCTAGTCAAGAGAAAAGGATAGAGGCGTCCAGGAAATGAATAGGAGGGAAAAAAATAGCTTAAAAGGACGGGAGCTTTGAATGGGGGGGAGTTGTGAGTGGACGGGGGGAGGCTCGGCGTTGTCACCATCGCTGCGAATGTGAGCAGGGTGAAATGCAGAGAGTTGCTGGGGATGGCAGCACGGCTGGGTGCTGTGCTGGGGGATGAGAACACGCTCCTGGTGCCATGTGCAGGGTGCTGGGTGCTGGGTGCTGCTCACTGCTCCTCCTGCGGGCACTGGGGACTCCAAGTCCTGACTCTATTGATGCTGCATGGAGCAGACAGTGCTGTGGGGTCCTCTGGCCTGAGGGGTTTTGGGGCTGCTGCAAGATCCCACTGCTCACCATGGGGCACTCTGCACACTTGCAGCATCAGCTCCTCTGCCAGCTCCTCAGCTGAGTGCTTTAGGTGTCACTATGGGAAATCAGGGAGCTGCCACTCCATTCTTGTGGCTTTGCTGTAGGAGAGCCTGACACGCTGTAGCATCCCAGTGAGAGCTCCTGTGCATACAGGAATGAACTGCCAGGGGCCTGATCTTGTGCAGAGAACTTGGGAGGGCTCTGGGCACATTTGGAGCCCATCTTTGCAATTGCATCATATGTGATATCATTACTTTTGGCTGGGGATAGGTGAGACATGTTTTGCTAGCTGGAGAAAACAAGAAATGAGGTTGCAGTGCACTCCCAGGGGTGAATGGTGCTGTTTCCAGGCACTCTCCTCCATTGTACCACTCACTTCCAGCCAGAACCTTTAGGCCTTATGCAAAGGCTCAGCACACCATCCAGCTCCCAGCAATGCTCTGCAGAGCTGTCAGCTGCTGCCAACATTCCCCTGAGCAGGATGCTCATCCAGCTGAGCTGGGTGCACCCACAGTGGGGCTGGTGGGTGTTGGGTTGGGCAGAGGCAAGAATGGACTTGGTGGATCTGCAGCAAACAGCCAATGCTGTGTCTGGGTGTCTGTGACTCTCTGAACTACCGTGTGCTGCCAGAGCTGCTGCCCAGATCAGATGTGGTGCAGAAAAGGGAGTGCCTTCCTGGGAAGCTGCTTCCTTGAAAGCAGCAGCCCCTGAGCAGCACTAAGCGTGTGTTGGATTCAGGCTGTGCAAAGAGTTTCCAGCACATGCAGTTGTCCCAGCACCCTTTTCCTGTCACCCACACAGGTGCCCAGCATCCCCTCTTTCCATTCCTCCACCCATCCCTCTCTGTCTCCCTGGCCACACTCCCATACCCCTTTCTTCCAACCCCTTCCATCCGCCATCTCTCCTTCCATTCCCATCAATCCTTTCATTCTTCCCCAGGCATCTCTCCATCCCCATCTCACCTGCTGTCCCCAGATCTCCTCTGTAACCCCATCTCTCCATCCACACAGCTTCCCCCACCTCCAGACCCAATCCCTATCCACTGCCCTCCACAGAGAAAACCAAACCTGGACAGTGCTGTGGTCAGCAAGAGCAACCTGATAACAGAAGCAGCCAAGAACTGCCTTACATCCCTATCTCTGCCTCCCACTCTTTGTGAGCTCCACTGGGGGACAGTGATCTTAGGTTCATGGAGAGCACTGCAGGAACAGGATGGCAGCCTCCAAGCCCAGCAAAGGAGGGATCTGAACCTTCACAGCCAGATGTGGCTCAGTCCCACATCCAACACCGCAGTGACTTTGGGCCATGGCAAAATGGGATGATATCAGAGTGTCCTGCAGGATGTGGCTGCAGGGCCTCACGTAATGTGCTCCGGCCCCGAGATGCTGCTGCAGGCAGTGTGCTGTGACCACCCCACTGCCCCACTGTGCTCACATCAAGGGTTGTCACCCCAGCAGTGGGCAGTTGACGGTTGAGAAGTGGCAAAATGCTGATGCTGGGAAGGAGGAGAGCTGGGCCAGGCAGACTGAGCTGCTGCCTCCTCCCCAGCACCCAACAGTGGGCAATTGTGGTTTTTAAAAAGGTAACTCCTATTCGGATCTCCAGGCTGTGGCATTATCATAGTCATACAAATGCCCAACAAAGCATCTATTTAAAATGTACTGAATTTTGATTACAGCCCTTCCCCTCTCGCTCGCTCACTGTCTTTCTTTCTCATTCATTACTTACTGTGTTAAGCTCCCCAAAATTCAAATAAAATCCCACCTCCCCCTCCCCCCAAACCCATATGCATTGTTTGATTCAGCTCTGATGTCTGGGCTTGACGAATGAAGGCAAATATAAGAGAAGACAAAGCTGTCAAACTTCTCGGGGCTGTGTTGACTTCCCATCACCCCTGCGGACGGACAGGAGACCGATCCATCTGTTTTGGAGTCAGTAGCACAAACAAAAGCAAAAGACAATGGCAGGAAGCACTTGAAAGTTCAAATTCTTTCTTTGGTTTCTCTTGGAACAACAGAACCTACGTAATGTGGCCAGCGGACAATAACACGCAGCCAGGGACACACAAAAATGCCAGAAGAATGTGCTTACGACACAAAACGTTCCAATATTTTTGTTTCGTTGGAACAGAAATAGAAAAGGAAAAAAAAAAAGAAAAGCAAAGAGCGAGCCTTTGGAGTTCCTAGATTTCTTGGACTGGGTTTCTTTAGAGAGGAGCGCTGCAAAGCTGGGTGGCTGCAGGCGGTGCAGCAGGGCTGGGGGCAGCTGAGAGCTGAGCACCCATGCACAACCCCAGCCTCAATGCTGGGGATGTGAGAATGGCACTCAGCACCCAGCTGAAATGCCTGCAGAGGGACTCCTTGGCACCCAGACCTGCTTCTCCTTGGGAAACCTGTCCTTGAGCTCGTGTCCTGTGCAGCCCCAGCGGGGCGAGGTGTGTGATGGAAAGCCAAGGGGTGAGCTGAGCTCAGCCCCAGGTTTCCCTTTCAGCAATAAGAAGGGCAGCTGGGTGAGCAGTGCTTGGTCCCAAGCAGAGCTGGGTGCTGCTGTGAGATGAGCACCGTGCCTTGTACAGGGCCAGAGCCCAGCAGCCAGCCCACTGCAGCCCAGCACCAGGGGAAATGGGGTAGTGGCTTTCCCCACCCCTGCAGGGGACTGAACCCCACATGCCATGGGGCTGCACCCTCAGCCACACACCAAGGGACAGGGATACCCACAAACCAACCCCCAAACCCCAGCACCCTTAGGGGCGCACACAGCCCAGAGGAGCTCTGGGGACTCCAAGCAGAACACAGCGACCCATCGGGGACATGGGAACCCATGGGCCCCACGCACTGGGAAAGAACACACAGCAGCCATTTGTTGTTTTTTTTTTTTTATAAAAAGATCAATGAAAAATTTATTTATAAATTTCGCACTCTGGGGCTACACGTCTATATCATACACTCAGGAATATGCTGTACTGTACAGACTTTATCCAGTTAGAAATGATCATATAGTGACCCACATACAGCTTCAATATAAGCCTAAAAATTCTTAACATTAATTAACATAATTAAAAAAGGTATTCGCATCTAAAGAAAAACCTACAGAAAAACTCCTTTCTGGAGCAATCTGTGCATCAGCTTCAATGTCTGCTTATTCCACTGACATTATCAATATATTCTTCTTACAAAAATAATAATAATAATTACGAAGACGACCGCCATCAGGTGAGCAGCCACGCACGGAGGGCCCCCCCACCTGCCTGTCGTGTACCCCCCATTTTGGCACGAGGGTCAGCAGCACTATGAGCCAATGCGGGGGGTGGGGGAGCGGGGGGGGCCCTCGTTTCTATATCTGAATTGATCTGCATCCCTTTCACTTCTCAGGATGGAGAGAGGTGGGGGGCGCGGGGTTGCATAGAACATTGGAACTGGAGGGACGAGGGAGGGCAGCAGCTTTTCAGTAAAATACACAGGGATGTAAAAATACATCAACTCACAATTTCAGAGCAACCCCCCTCCCCCCTCCCCCCCCGGCATACAGTTTCCAAAATCTCAGCGCGTCCACAGCTCCAGGAAGCTGGAAAGGAACAATACTTTTCTTCACCTCACTCAGCGATTCACACAGGAGATTCACAGTCTCAATAGGTATTTTATAAAAATATAAATATGGGTTACATCACGTTGTCTTTACAACACTGGACAGAGCTCCCTTTAGACCGGGTTTATAACCAAGATTTCTTTTAAAAAATCCATCTAGAACTTGGCTTTAAAGTACACTTTTCTTTTTTTTTTTTTTAATATCATGTCATAAATGTTATGACATTTCCATCGTGGCAAATCCGTTTAGGAAAAAAAAAAAAAAAGAAAACAAAAAATAAAATAAGTTGTGCAACCATCCGGTAACGACAATACAGCCTCACTGGGAAAGGTTTTGTTCCCACCCCGGGAGCGGAGCCGGCGCTGCGCGGACCCGGAGCTCCTCCGCTTCCATCGGGTCTGCAGCGCTGCGCCTCCAACAGCACGGACTGCAGGTGGAACCACGAGCCAAAGCAGAACGCTCAGTGCAACGGGAAATAACAGCGGCAGACTCGAGTTGTAGATACGGTAAGACTGGGGGGATTAAAGAGGAGAGGAAAAAAAAGCGTGTTTCCTCAAAATTTGAAACACTCACCGCCAGCATCCGACCAGAGCAGGCTCACAAACGTCACCCGCGTATATACAGACATGATAAATAGTTTCAAGACGGCCCCAGAAACCAGCAGGTAACTATTTTCTTTTTTTTTTTTTTTTCCTTTTTCTTTTTTTCTTTTTAATCGTAACGGGTTGGGGGAGGGGAGCGAGGGCGGGGCGGCAGTGGTTGCTTTAGTGCAGACGGACAGAAGAGGGATGAGGGACGGGGGGTTCTGAAACGTTCCGCATTTTCCAAATGGACGCTTTTGTGCCATAGCAATAAAAGCAGCATTGCCATTAGACGTGCAGTCACTTCAAAATGCGATCGGGGCGGCTCGCTCCTCCCCCTCCCTTTCCTTTATAAATATATATATATCTCGGTTCGGGCACATATATATATATATATATATACACACCATACACCATATAAAAGGCGGGCGGGCTCTACGCACAAAGGGATCGTTCTGCATTGAGAAGCGTTATCCAAGTTTCACCAAAAGAACGACAACCAAAGTTCCCAAACTATTTCTCAGTAGTTTTCAGGCACCTCTCGAGGCAGCAGAGAGCGCTCGCGCCCCTCTTCTGTGCAAAGCAAATCCTCTGCCTCTTACAGTTTATTTCACCTATTTTTTTTTTTCCTTTTCAATTTTTTTTTTTTAATTAAAAAATAAGTTCAGGATTTGCTGATCCCCCCCCTCCCCTCTCTCTCTCTCACACACACACACGCACGACGCCGGGAGGAAGGATTCAATGTCTTTTCCTGTGGTCTCACGTGTGCTAAATGGATTCAAGGACCGGCTGAGGATGCAGACTTTCTTCGGACACCCCCAAAGAAAATAAAAGAAAAAAACAACTTAAAAAGGGGAAAAAAAAAAAAAAAAAAAAAAAAAAAAACGAACCAGGCAGGGCATGTCTGTCATATCCAATGGAGTTGCCTCAGAAAAAAAAAAAACAAAAAACCGAGCAGGAGGAGATCAGCCCGGAGCCGCCGGGCCGGGGCACCTGCGGTGCTACAGCGCCGGGGGGACGGGAGGGGTGGGAGTGTTGAAATGAACTCGTTCTGCGGCAGAGTGCTTTAAAACCGAGGGACGGGTGAGGGGTCGGGGGGAGGATTAAATATCACCGGGAGGTGGGAGAGTTTTAAAGCATCTGAGCAGACGTCAAACTGAAACCGTGAATACTGTGAGTGCAGCCGAGGTAGACGGAAAAAAAATTACAGTAGGAAAACAACCCTCGGAAGGAAAACCAAACCGAACCAAACAACGAAATCGGAAGCGGCTGAGCGGCGGGGCGTCTCGGCGGGGCGGAAGCACGGAGCGCGCGGTCCGAGCGGCTTCGACGCGCCGGGGGCGGCCCGGCATCACCGCGCGCCGGCGGAGTATTTGGCCTTGGTGATCAGGTAGAGCACGATGTCCTGGTGGCCCCCGAACGCGGCGATGTGCAGCGCGCTCCAGCCGTCGCGGTTGGCCAGGCGGATGTCGGCGCCGAACTTGACGAGCAGCTTGACGAGCTCCAGGTTGCCGTCGATGACGGACTGGTGCAGCGCCGTCTGCCCCTCGGGCCCGAAGGAGTTCACGTTGAACTCGCAGTTCGTCATGTTCTGCAGCAGCGACTGCAGCTCCTTGGTGTTGCCGCGCCGCACGGCCTCCTGGAAGACGCGCTGGCTGGGCGGCGCCGCGCACGGCGACACGTCGCTCTGGCTCATGCTGCCGCGGCCCCGCCGAGCCTCTCGCCCCGCATGGACGGCGCTCCCGCCGCCGCTACCCCGCGCGGCCGGGCATGCGCTGCGGGCTGCGGGCGCACAGCGGCTCCGCGCCGCCCCTCCGCCGCGCTCCGCCGCCGCGCCGCGCCCGGGCCTCTCTGGAGCGGAGCCGGCCCCGCGGCGCGGCTTTTAGCCCGCTTTTATTTGCATAACAATGGCACGGCGTGACGGACGCCGCGGGGCGGGGCGCGACGCCGCGCGCCCATTGGAACGCCCTCCTCTCGGTGGGCGGGGCTAAGGGAAGCCCCGCCCCGTACGCGCGCCCCGCCCCCGCCCCCGGCCGCGGGGGGAGGGGGCGGCGGGGGCGGCCCGGCGCGGAACGGTGCGAAACGGCTCTGCTGGGGGCGGCCGGGCTTCACCGGCTCGGCTCGGCTCGGCACGGCGTAGCCCTGCACGGCGCCACCGGCCTTCGCCCGGCTCGGCCCGGCCCGGCGCCACGGTGCTTCACCCGGCTCGCCTCGGCGTAGCCCGGTGCCACCGAGCTGCCCCTGGCTCGGCTCGGCTCGGCACGGCCCGGTCTGGCCCGGCCCCGGGTTCGGTGATCGAGCGCTGGGAGCCCCGGGGCGGGTGCGGTGCGCGGGCACTGCGGGACGGAGGGGGCCGTAACAGCGCAGCCAAAGGCGCGCGGCGACCGAAGGTGCTGGGAAAGCCGAGGTGCCGCTGCACACCGTGCCCGTTTGGTCCGGGGCAGAGCAAATGGCAGAGGGCGGTGGGAAGAGGGGACCCCCCGGCCCGAACGGGGAAGGGTGCGGGGAGGGGAAGAAGAGGCCGTAAAACCGGGGGGTGACCTCCCAGCTGTCACCTCGGACAGCCGCCCCCGGCCGTGTGCCGCGTCGGTCTGGGGATGGAACGGCACCGATCAGCCGAGAGCTGAGCTCTGCTGACATGCCGGCCTTGGGTGGGATCACTGCGAGCTCGGGACGCGGGCTGCCATGCGGGGTGTTCCCGTGGCTTTTCCCCATACTGAGGGAAGGCTGAGCCCCACCGCGGTCCACATCCATTCCCCGCCCATCCCATCCCGGTCTCCATCATCCATCTCCATCCACATCCCCGTGCACCCCATCCCTATCCCTATCCCATTCCCATCTCAACCAAATCCTCATTCCCAGTCTCATCCCGTCTCTGTTCCTATGCCATCCACTTCCCAATCCTCATCATGTCCCCACATCATCCCCAACTCAGTCCCTATTCCACTTCCATTTCCATCCCCATCTCATTCCCATCTTAATCCCATTCCCATTCCCATGCCCATCCCAGTCCCCGTCTCACGTCCATCTCCATCCCATCTTCATTCTTATCCCCACCCCGTTCAGTTTCCCCAAACCGGAGCTCTCCGTTTCCAACACGACTGTACCAAAGTTCTAACGGAGATGATGTGATGTGATTGATGTGATGTGATGTGATGGCAGTGCAGCACGGCGGCTGCGGGCACTGCGCTCCCGTTGGAGCACCGGGTTGGAGTGCCCTGGGATGTTCCCCGTGACATCCACCGTAACACTGGCACACGGCACGCAGCGCCCTTTGCTCGCGCTTCCAGACCGTCCCCACCCCACGGGGTCCCTCCCCACCACGAGCAGGAGCAGCTCACTGCGGGACCGCGCTCGCCCCGTCTGCTCCCGAACGACCCCCCGGGGCACCACTTTGGGACAGGAGGGCCGAATCTTGTGGGGTGTCAGCAGCGAGTGGGAGAGCGGGAGCTGCCCGCTCTCCCGGCTGGGGCCGGACCAGGGCAGCAGGACCCCAGCCATGCAGGTGGGGGCGGGACCCCTCCCGGGAACGGGGCCGGAGGGGCAGGAAAAACAGAGAAAAAAGATGAAGGCAGTTTTGAAAGCCCGCATTTCAGCTTCGATTCGCGTTTCGGTTTTGTAAACAGAGCCGCTCCGAGGACGGGACGGGACGGACGGGCGAACCGCAGATGGGCAGGGCCGGCTCCGCTCCGGTGTTAGCGGGGCTCGGGGCCGGGCCGTGCCGGAGCTCTGCCCGGGAGCAGAGCGGGCAGCGGTCGGTCCGGGCACCGCAGCTCTCGGGCGGCAGCGCCGGGGGCTCCGCGCAGGGAGCGGCGGGGGACGGAGCGGGGCGGGCGGCGAGGGGGCGTGCCCCCATTTAATTCATTAAAATGTGTCGGAGAGCGTGGGAAAGGCGGCGGCTTTTCTTCCCAGCGCACGGACCCGGCCGAGGGCGCGCACGCGCGCTCCCGCCGGGAACGGCCGCAGATCGAGGCGGGCCGGGGGGCGTCCCCGTCCCGGGGGGCGCGTGGGGGGGCGGTCACGGTGGGGGGCGGCGGGGCGGTGGGCGCACCTCAGGGCACGGTGCCCGCGGGGGGAGCGGATCCTGCCGTCCTGCCGCAGCCCACCCCGCGCGTTCACTCCGCTCGGTGCCGGCCCGGTCCCGCTGGCGGTGCTGCGGCGCTGCTGCCGTCCCGCCCCGAGCGCACGGCGCGTGCGTGACAGCGGGAAAACGCCGTCCAGGCGGACAGCCGCCGGATTTGACACGCTCGGAGATGGAGAGCCGCTCGTTGCTTCAGCCCTCGGCTGCGTGCGGGGCTCTCCGGCTGCGGCCCCGTGGCGCGTCTCTCTGCCGTTCCCGAGCTGGGTTTGAGGCCACGTGTGTCGGGGTGGCTCGGGGGGGACGCAGCCGTGACCTCTGCAGGACGTGCAGTGAGGAGTGACGTGAGAGGGTGGGAGCGCGTTGGCCTGGAAGTCCCAGGTGTTCTGCCCAGGTGTTGGCAGGTGTTGGGAAAGGAGCGGTCCCAGCGAGCAGACATCCTCCGGGCACGAATGTCCCCTCGTGTGGCACCGACACCTCTCTGCTGCCCCCGGCCACGGAGCACTGCACGGGGCCTGCAGCTCACAGCCAACCTCGGGCTCTCCAGGGCTGGGCCCGTGCCCAGAAACGTGCCAGATTGTTTGGAAACGGCAACCGAGCAACAGGGAGCTCACGTGGAGCATCCATAGCGTGCGGGGAGCCTCGGCCTCCGGTCTTTCTGCGCCCGCCGGCCCCGTGTGAGCCACAAAGGCACGGGGAGCCGAGCCGCTTTCCTTGAGCCGGTCAAGTATGCGGCACGGCTTCCGATCCAGATTGCACAAGGAAGGAAGTTCGCTCGGAAGGGGATGGGGATAAGGTGGGGGAGAAGGGAGGGAAGCGCATTCCTGCCTGATGAGGAACAATGTTGATAGATTCATTTGTAAACTAAAGCTGGCCCCGGTGCCAAACACCTTGTCCCCATCAAACTGCGAAGGATATGCAAGAAATACACAAGGCGAGGAGAGGAACTGCCCGATATCCGATGCGGTGTGTGAGTTCTCAGGGCTCTGCAGGGCACACTGGAGCCGCCCCAGAGCTGCACAGCAAAGCAGTGGGGAGCCGGAGGTGCTGCACTCCTGCTGCAGCAGGTGCAGTGTGAGCAGAATGTACCCCGGAACAGCTGCATGCCACCCAGGAAACAGCATTTTTTGCACCGTTTTCATCCAGCCCAGACCCCTCTCTCCCACCTTAACCCCTTCCCTTCCCGAGCTCTCAGCACAGGGTCCGAAGGTGACGCCAAGTCGTGAGACTGAAGGGACCGGATCCACTCCCTTCCCCTCCCTGCAGCCCCCGCCGGCTGCTGCTTTCCTTCTCCCCCGGCGCTGTCCCACGGCAGCGGCCCCCAGCAGCAGGCAGAGGCAGAGCAGCGCGCTCACGTCGCATCGCAGGGACCGGGCGGCTCTGCGGGAGCTGCCCCGCTGCCCTGCGAACGCACTATCAAACAGCCCCATAAAAGCACAAAAGTCCCCTTACTGCCCCGATAAACGTTAAATATTACTACAGCACAGGCAGTGGGGTAGGTTTGCTTATTTATTTATTTTTTCAAAAGAAGCAGATAGGGAAACAATATTGCAGGCTGATTAAAAAGCCGGCTTAATTCTCTTTGATCTGTCTCCACCATTGAAAACCGAACGATTTATTGCTTCCTGGATGCTGCTCAAGGCCGGCCCGGCTCGGCAGTTTGATGCTGACTGTGGGTCTGCCTGGGGACGACCTCACTGCACCTCCATGTCCTCTGTTCCGGGGCACAGTGGGCACCACCCCACACCCACCCAGCACAGCACCCGGGGGTCACATCGTGCCGTGCCCCCACACTGCCCATGGGCAAACACAGTGCTGCAGAGCTGCCTGTGCTCAGCCCGTGGTGCCCAGCCCGATGGAGCGGCTGCTGCACCACAACTGCTGCAAAAGTGACCTTGGGGTGAAAGAGAAGAGGAAATTCTGATTCCAGCTGAAGAGAGAATTAAGAAAAATGAGTTAGCACCTAGAAAGAGCGCAGGTCTGGAAAACCAGGAAATGAAACACAATTCCTTGAGGTTACGCAAAAAAAAAAAAAAAAGAAATAAAAAATGCAGACAATGGAGTGGGAAGCTGTAAGGATCAATAGAAAAATGATGATGGCTGAGGGCAAGATCAGAAGGCATTTTAATCCCATTAGGAGAGATAATCTCCAGCACACCACACGGCTTGAGGTGACACTGCCTGTGTGGGGACAGTCCTTTGTGGCAGCATTCAGCAGCCAGCCTGCCTGGCACAGCACAGGGGAAGCCACCAAACCTCATGTGGGCTGTGCAGGTACCTGAGAGAACTGTTGCTAAAACAGAGCAGTTTCAGTCAGTGAGAGCAGTCAGCAGCTCCCAAGTGGCTATGGTGCATGGCAGGACTGCGGGACTCTGGGGACACCTGGGGACACCTGGGGACAGGGAATTAAAGGAAACCAATGTGGCTGTGCAGGATGCGACCCCGTAGGAAGCACAGCATCTGCACTGCCCTCCTTCACAGCTGGGAGAAGAGGCAAAGTGGTGATGGTGGCCAGGCATGGGCATCTCTGGCTGTGCATCAGCAGTGGGGCTTTGCTTTGTGACCCCCCAGAGACAGACTGGGAGGAGAGGAGAAGTGTGCTTATATCTTAGAGCCAATGTGAATGCAGCCAGCACCAAAACCCAACCGCTGCACAGCTCATATGGAAGTGAGCAGTGAGCAGTGAGTGAGGCTGGATGGCCCATGGGCACAGTCC